CTGGAGTCGTTGAATTGGCTCTTGTCTTCGGGTTTGTAATGCCAACTTCTCATTCATCACAGTCGCAGTGGCTCTTTTAGCCAATTCATACTGCTGGACGTATAGTTCCTTCAGCTGATAGTTCAGATCCTCGAGACTGGATAACATACCTCGAGACACAATCGCTTTTAACTTGTCAATGGAAATGCTAGCTATTGTTGCGGATGCCGAGGTTGAAATTACAGTAATCGGGAAGTGATCGGCGTCCATCCAAAAAATATGCCCCTGCAATAACATCCAGCAAGTTACACCCGTTACACTCACATAATAGTAATCAATATATTTTACAATAACCCAACGTACTGATGCCAGCCGCGCCTCCGCCGATGGCTCCGACACGAACACTTTGCGCCTTGATTGCCATGATGCCAAACTGATTCTGAAGCAAGAACACGTGAATTTACTAGTGAAATGCCTTTACCCAATCACAAGTCTCTATTTTTGCCCATCACTGGCACTAAACCGATATGCTACAGGTTAAGGGTATTTTACAACCTAGTACCGAAATTGTACTTGCCGCCTCCTGTGACGGGATCTTGAAAGTTGAGAGCCTCTAGGGTGTAACCGACCAAGTAGTAAATTCGGTTAACCTGTCGGATCTGCACGAGTAAAGGAAAAGCTCACTAGGTTGTAGGATCTGGGCCAATGTATTATCCAGTTATCACTACCAACACTAGATTCGCAATTCCCAACCTTCTCGGAGCTCGTACGGCCAATGTAGCTCCGGTTCTTGAGGGCAGGAAGGCACTTGCGTGATACTGTGCAAATTGAGGTCTGTATTGATAAATGGGCTAAGTGGGAGCAAAGGGAGAAGACCATTACGCTATAAAATTTGTGCTAACGAATGGCCTGTATCTGGCGGCTTTCTCCCTAAACTTACTAGAAGACGGCTGAAGTTTAGGTAGCACCGGCTCGAAGCTTACAGGCTAGTTGAAGTGATCATTTATATCTTCTGTGTTTGACGCATTCTCGTTGGAGCACTTCCTTTTAGTTTAGCTGATAAATCAAAGCCGTTCGCAGCATCAGTTTGGCAATGACGGGGCCGTTCGTTCGGCAATAGCGGCATAGGAAAACGATCACGCTCGTGATCGTTTCATCACTTGAATCATCTCGTTACTTGTAAATAATAAATTCCGGACTGATTTTAGAGTTCTTTTATCATCGTTTTTAGCCAGTCAGTGCCGTCAGTATTTTGGTGCAAAATACGGACTAACAATTAATGCTTTTACTAGTTTCTGTTGTTCAACAACCCTTTTTTATTAGCTCCCTCCGTAAAACTGTAATAATATTTAGCAAATGCTCTGTAAAATTTGCATCCAATCTGGCCGAAGATGTGATATATCTCCGCTAGAAACCGCTGGAAAGTACTGCGGGGTTGCCTTTCTGTAGTTTCGGACGTGACCAGTGGTCACTGACCATATACCACAGTGTGATGTTGAGTCGCAGTCGACAAGGGCAGCAAAATTTGTACGCGCATTTTCCGCATTCTTCAGGCCCGACACTTATATTTATTTGCTCAGTCTGAATTTTAGAGTCTTTTTCCGAAGGCAGGACCGTGTAGTTGTGTAACATTACGTTTCGCATTTCGTTTTGAAGTGGGGTGCACTACAGTCTGATGTCTAATCAACGACTAAAAAAATGCCCCCCCCCCCGGCGTCTCTAACTCCTTTTTGGTTCCGCAGACACACAGAGCGACCGGGAGCTTTGTCAGTAAGCCATGACGACCGAGTTTGGCTACCCGGAATACCCTGTTTGCGGAGATTGCAGCTGGATGATGACGACGAAGGCGGCAGTTATAGCGAAGACTTACTATAAAACAAGAGGAGTAAAAAAGCAATGTATTGTCGAAAATGAATTTATACAGTCGACGTGTTTGTGCAGTTTGTATCAAATCGCGGTCGAGACACGGGAGCGCAGCCGAATGACTTTCTAGGCTCTTACAATACTCCAGCACGAATGTCAATGATGTTTCCCGACTGCCAATTGGGCAGTCCTATCGTGCGGCCTGACGCCGAACGCGACAATACGCACAGGTTAGCCACAAGCACTTGCTCAAAGCTGAACACTGCACACGCATCGTCAACCCAGCACGCCTCGCAGCACGATAGCCACGTCTGCGAATCTCCGATACCTGCCGTCGCGGAAATGATATCGAGGTTGATGTAGCGCACTTGCAGCTCCACGGAAATAGCGTTTGTGGCTTGTCTAGAACACGGCGAGCTCGTTGGCACGTCGGTCGGCGCATCAGTCGGAGCATCCGTCGGTCCATTGGTAGGTCCTTCCGTGACAGGCCCCGTGGTCACTTCACCGGTAGGTCCATCAGTGGCAGGCTCTGTGGTCACTTCTCCGGTAGGTCCATCAGTGGCAGGCTCTGTGGTCACTTCACCGGTAGGCCCATCCGTGGCAGGCTCTGTGGTTACTTCACCGGTAGGTCCGTCCGTGGCAGGCTCTGTGGTCACTTCACCGGTAGGCCCATCAGTGGCAGGTCCCGTGGTCACTTCACCTGTGGGCTCATTCGTTGTCGGCTCCGTCGTGACCTCGTCTGTTGGTGATTCCGTCGTTGGCTGGGTAGTACCTTCTTCGGAAGCATCCGTACTGCAAGGTTTTTCCGTCTCAGGCTCTGTCGTCTCCTCAGTGGGGCCATCCGTGCTCGATCCATAAGCGGTCTGTTCAGCGGGTGCTTCAGTCTCTTCACAAGGTTCATCAGCTCCAGGCTCCAGTGTGCCGGGGGTACCCTCTTCCTCACCAGCAGTGTCATAATCCCCAGTCTGGTAATCAGCCGTTGTCTCAGTCGTGTAGTGTCCAGTAGTCTCACCACCCTCCGTGCTGGTCCCGTAGCCACCACCCGTGGTGTAGTGTCCAGTAGTCTCACCGCCCTCAGTGGTCGTGCCGTAGCCACCATCAGTAGTGTAGTGTTCGGTAGTCTCGCCGCCGTCCGTGGTCGTGCCGTAGCCACCACCCGTGGTGTAGTGTCCGGCAGTCTCACCGCCCTCAGTGGTCGTGCCGTAGCCACCATCAGTAGTGTAGTGTTCGGTAGTCTCGCCGCCCTCCGTGGTCGTGCCGTAGCCACCACCCGTGGTGTAGTGTCCGGCAGTCTCACCGCCCTCCGTGGTCGTGCCGTAGCCACCATTAGTAGTGTAGTGTTCGGTAGTCTCGCCGCCGTCCGTGGTCGTGCCGTAGCCACCACCCGTGGTGTAGTGTCCGGCAGTCTCACCGCCCTCAGTGGTCGTGCCGTAGCCACCATCAGTAGTGTAGTGTTCGGTAGTCTCGCCGCCCTCCGTGGTCGTGCCGTAGCCACCACCCGTGGTGTAGTGTCCGGCAGTCTCACCGCCCTCCGTGGTCGTGCCGTAGCCAC